CATAATCTTTTACAGAACTTAATAATGTTCCCACTGAAGGAAATGGCTGCTTCTCTTATATTCAATGACTGCAGGAATAATGTCCTAATAAGAATAGATAGACTGTGTTCCACATGCATTATTATTTCACTGTTATCAAATCAAATAATAATATAACATTTAAAAGACAAGGGAAAATAGAGTGACACAAAGAACAAGAAAGCAAAAAATATTAGTGAATGCTATCGTACCGATTTCCACGGTCCCCGATGCCATGAAACATCACCAGGGCAAGAATGCACATTACATTGCGCCATATTAGGTGGCTTGTCTAGAATTTCACAGTTTTGATCACCCAACATTTGGCCAGTAGGAAGCTGACAAATCACCAGTCTTGTTTTTATTCCATCTCCACAAGTCTGAGTACACTGAAATACAGAATTTTATATGCAATAATTTTCTTAAGAGAGTCATCACATACCATTAAACCAAAAGATACAGCAATTATCAGTACATGCTATTATTTACTATGCTTATTTCCATGTTCCCCGACAACCTGCTCAAGAATAAGGACTTAAAAGTCTAATCTCATGTAATGAAAAAAATTCTCTCACCAAAAGATTTACCAAACCACTTTTTTATGATTTATCAAGTAATTTTCTGCAGAAAGTCTCAGATTCTACTCTGTCAGAGAGAAGTAAACATTTGTGAGAATAAATGTGCATGTATATCTTTCTTTACTAAGAGGAAAATATGGAAATTTGTCTTAAAACTAGTTTTTGCTGCCAGACACTGTGCAGAAAACTTAGAAAACTCAGACACTGGGCACAGTTTTACATAGTTTAATTTATGGTGACTAACTGTAAAATACCTATAGGATGTGTTTTCTGGGTTTCAGTTTGCCTGTAATTCTGCAATAGCAGACAAAATTACTAATTCTCATTCCTAATGAGCTAATAAAACCAATCTATGATAGTTTATAGCATTTTACTGTATTCCAAAGGATTCTAAATTAGACAAAAACTACAGCATCTGCACTAACTGTATCCCAAGTCTGTGGCTATAGACAGAAAAAAAATGACACTCAGACTGACCTTGAAAACTTAATGGCTAAATCTGGACAAAATGAGGGCAAAAAAAGTAAAATAAAGAAGTTACTCAATCAGTTTTTCTTCTTTTTTCAACTTAACACATTGATTTATCAAGAATAAGAAAAGTGGGCAGGAATCACATGAATCTAGATTAGAATAAATGCAAAACTAATCAGTTTTATCTCTCTCCATAGCGTTTGAGCAAGAACGTGTGGTCGAGATATGACATCACATGGCATGGAGAAACTGCTCTTTATCCAATAACGTAAAATGCTTCATCAAAACATTCTAAGCCAGGCACACCTTTTAGATGCCTGATTATATTTCCATACTTCTAATTTGTAACTACAAATCAGTAGCTCCTACTACTTGCAGTTACTCTAGTCAGTATCTATGAAATTAGATGTAATGAAGTTTCTCTACAACTTCTTGTGCTCATTTTTTTCTTAGACTAGCTATTGCACTGAAGTTTTTCTGCATACAATTCATCTTTTTGTAACAGACTATAATTTTGTATGTCTCAAGATTCAAGATGCTACTGCAACACTATTCTTAGCCTCACACAATACTTTCTTCTTTTGGATGTTTGTTTACACCACTCACATTTCCACTACAGTTCTGGATTTATATTTACAAAGTTTCTATTACATTATACATATACTACATTTATATTTACAAAGTTTAGACAGGTTGAAACTCACTCTTTTTAAATAAATTAAAAAAAGGTGTTCAGTTCCACTCACAGTCAAACAAATACGTTTCTATTTCTAAGCTTATGTGGTAAACAATGTTTCCCCTTGAAAGTGAAATGCTCTTACTTCTCCCCAATTCCCAAAGTTCCACCGTGGGCAGGGTCCAGAATCACAGTGTCTTGACTCTGGAGGTTTTGTTGTCTCATCACAATAACTAGCACTTCTTCCTTCCTCATCTTGACATACTACAACTCGACGGTGAAATCCACCTGCACAAGTACTAGAGCACTACCAAAACATGTAAACATATGTATCGCCATTCCATGACCAGAAAAAGGTAAAATATGTTGGTTAAAACAACTTGGTTTTAAATGTTAACTTTCAAAACTAAAACTTGCAAATAAAAATGACTACTATGTAGAAGTATTTTAAGCTTGAAATCACTGAAAAATTACATTAAGAACTGAATATATTCTGAAAACAATAACAACTGCAATAATAATAATTTTTAAAACTAATGTGCATCTCTTTCAACCAAGTCTGTACTGCAATAACGTTTCTAGAAATGTTAATACACGTGAGAGAATAGATAATTATATTCTAAAAAAATTTCTTACTGCTCCCCAGGGTCCAGTTCTCCATTGATATCCTTCCACAGAGGGACGGTTCCACTGGTTTAAATTGTCTTGTGGAGAGTGTATTGGGAGGTAATCTATTTCTGGAAAATGGCTTGGAGGGTCGTGCATTTTTGGAATATGATGGTAAACAGGTGGACATGGTGGCATGTTACATTCTTGTTCCTTAGATGGTCGGCCTTCAGGATCACAGTAATTCTCATTGATTTGTTGATTATAGTTGACACAGATAACTTGTCTTGTTACTATTCCACTATCACACGTAACTGTGCACTGACCAAAAAATTAACACAGTGTTTGTAACAGCAAATTGACAATTAATAAGCAAAGACATTTATATTTACTTTTGATGAGAAGAAACATACAGTTTGTTTTTTTCAAGGAATAATCAATTATTTTCAATATAATCAATTTCAATCACACTTGCACAAAGTATGAACTTCCAATTTCTAAACAGGGACCAATAAACTAAATAACTAAATATAATAAACTTTGGCCAATAAACTAAATAGACATTAAAAAATTTTACCATTAATACTTACAGGGGACCAATTTCCAACTTGCCACTCTCCACATGGGCTAAAGCAGCTTGCAGTTTCAGCTGGTCGTGGTAAATGAGCACAGAAAGACTCATCGGCTATTCCTCCATGAGCATCTCTACAACTCACATAGCGAGCACGATCACCCTTCCCACAGGTTGCAGAGCACTGTCAGAGAGCAATCCAAGCTCATCACACTTTAGGAGAACAAACCAAGATCATGCAAGCATCTAAAATACTAACATAGCTTAGTATCAACTTGGCTTCAGAACTAAATTAGTTTCACAATAATAGAACCATGCATCCAGAAAGGAAAGTGAAATACTGCTGGATGGTATAGGCCTTAAGAATTCCTGTTGGCTTGGAACTGAATTGCACAGCCTCAATTCTCATGAAGCAACTCGGTGTATATAAACGGGCAGCATTTACATTATAACAGGGAATAATTTTACACAGTTACAAAGGCAATTTTTTGATTTACTAACAATAGAAACATCAGTAACTTCCAGAACATTTTAGTTATTACACAGTGATGAAATATTTACATCAACTATTAAAACAAAAACTGATTCACAATTCACTTGCTATTATGGTTTGTATTAGCATATTCCATTGAGCCCCTTCTGATGCCTTTGTATCTGAGGAGTTCAAGGTGGATTTAGTGAAGAGTTGCTGAGTAGCCTCAGTCCATGCACTCTTTACTGCTATGTGCAAAGATAGAAGATATCATACACAGACACACACACATTTTTATAGATCATTTTAAAATTTTACTTTGCTATCAAGTAAATCTAATTTTCCACATTATCAAAATAAAAAACTCTTCCACTGAAGAAAGTTTGTGTAGGAACCATTATCACAATGTTGATTTTACAAAAAAATGGCAAATTAGACCTTTAAAGATCCAGACTGTTTAATATTACTATTCACATAAAAGATTTAAATTATATTTAAAATCAAAGACATTCTCCATAGTCAGAAAGTGATCAATTACTTTTAAAAACACTTCCTATCACACTCTCAATCATATGAAAACTAATTTGTTCAGAATCCCAGCTCCTAGAATCCTGACTTTTTCCTCTTATTTTCCCTGATTAAATATGAAGCACATGGTTTGCTGGGAGCATCGTCCTTAAGAAACAGGCCCTTTTCTTAAAAATATATTAGAATTCCTTTTTAATTTATCCCAAATAGATTTAAGTCTGAAAAATATATTAATGAGAGCTTTATGGAAAAATAGGTCAATGATTGGAGGACTGCTCTGCAAGATGTGACTGCTACATTACATACTGGGGTCCATGATCCATATCTCCATTGGGTCACTTTCCCAACATGAACTAGAGGAAGTGATGTAGTCCATAATTTTGTATTTTCTGGACAAGAGGGCAATTCACATTCCTGTGGGGGTGAGAAAAAAAAAAAAACTTTCAAAATATACATTTTTGAAGAGCCAAATGTAAAGCAAAAGGCTCTGCAGACATAGATCCTACTTTTACAATAACTTAGTGTTCATTAATAAGAAAATAACATTTGCTAGCTTCTCCCTGGAGTTATTCAGAGACTTTTCATTGAATTATTTTGTTTTGTTTCAAATCAAGAACCAAAGAAATTTTATTTGAAGTTAAAACTGCATAGTAATAACTAATAATATTGGCATTTGGAGAAAGAACGGTTTTGGGTAACTTGCTGGAGACAAGGGACATAGATGTTACAGCGTCCTGTTTCATACCACAGGTAGTACTGAAGAAGTCAGCAAACACAGTGGCTATGCTGTTCTGTCCTTTATACCTTCAGCTACTGAGAACACAAAGTTGCCCAGTTTCAGTCAGTAGCCAAACAGGCACCACAATTGAAAATACAAAGCATGTGTTTTCATGTGTAAGTAGAAATTAATTTCTATCCATTAACTGGCTTTTATATTTAGAAATCTTATTCAAGAAGCCATGTACCAGATGGCTGGTAACTTGTGACTGATTTACTCTGGACCATAGAATGCTTTTTTTCCCCTCTTCTCCTCGAGACAAAAGGCAGAATATGTGCTTCACAAGATACAGGGTTTCCGGTTTAGCTGGACTGCCATGAGATGTATCAATGTGGTAGTCACATTGACATATTAATTAATAGCCTAAGACACCAATTGCTTTTAGGTAAAGATAAACCCACTGACTGTATTAAAACCACTTCTTCTGAGAAATGACGTTACTTAACTTAAGTGAAGTGATGAAGTAAATAAACCAAGGTAAGAAGAAAAGGTAAGGAACCATATTGAATCGTAATCCATTTCTACAAAGTTTTTAATTAGTATTATTCCAGCAACTGAATCTTTCTTTAAGTAACCGTGTTGTTCTTTTAAGAACTATATACAAGTAGAATTTTAGGGAATACCAAGCCAGTTAGGTGCTATTATTTACGAAGCACGAAGGAAAGCAATGCCCTTATAATATTCTACAGGTTGGAGCTTCTCCTGCTCCCAATTAATCACAGGCCTTTGGATCCCTTCAAATCATATACCTTAACCCTTTGATCATATACCAAATTTTCAGACCTCCAATGTCCAAATTACTCTTTCTTTGCTTTATTCGTGATGCTGAATTTGACATTTGTGAAAAAAAACAGACAGTTTCAACATTTTTTTTCTCATTTTAGAACTTATTTCCTCCAAATTCCCTCAAAGAGTCAAGTAGACAACACTTGTATTTTAGACGCTTTTAACTAAGAAGTAGAGAGGGTTTTTTTAACTTACTTGGTTATCTCTAGGACGACTAGCAGCATTGCACTCCCTGTCATCACTTAAAATAGCACGGTAAGTCCCAGTTACACATTTGACTGCACGCATCTGGTATCCACGTCCACATGTTACAGAACACTGTTAAAGTCAATAGTTTCACATACTTGAAATGGCACCATTTATAATCAAATTTAACTTTTGTTAAATCTCCTATTTTAAGACACTTTCCAGGATGAATAGCAATGACTACTGAGATGGTGTTAACTTGCTTTGTGGCAGACCATAAGGTACTTAAACAGTGGCCATAACACAACGTTTTGGCTATTGCTGAACAGTGTTTGTGCAGGATAAAAACTTTCTCTCTTTCTCCCCTTCTATCCCCTGCAGTGTGCAGGCTGGAGGTGGGCAGGAAAGAACACTGCCAGAACAGCTGACTTGACCTGATCAAAGGGACAATTTGTGCTATATAATGCCATGCTCAGCAATAAAAACTTGTGTAGTGAAAGTAGAGGTGGAGGAAAGTGGGAGTAAGGAGTGGCTTCCAAATGAATCAGTAGTTGCAGCTGTTACATGTCTCTCTTCATCATAGAGTTTGACAAGAGCATACGAACAGAAGGCAACTAAAATGTTAGCTGGCTGAAAAGAATGTGACACAAATCCTATCCTATAAATGTTCTAGTTCAAGCCCAAATACTTGGGAAAACTCGGCTGTGAATGGCTATTACCAAATGGTAAAGCAGAAAAACTTCAATAAAAAGCTCTGCTCCAGTGATATGGATTGATAAATTGCTTGTACAAGCTATTCAGTAAGATATTTTTAATTCAGAACAATTCTATCATGGGACTGAATTAACTTTATATTTTATTTTTTTTATTTAGTTTGTAGGAATGGAAAGTCATCACCTTGAGATCAAAAGGTTACACAAAAGGAATTCAACATTCAACAGGGTGGTTGTCTCTAAGGTAAAAATAGTAAAAAAAATAAAACAAATTCTAGTGGAAAATATATTTAATTTCCAAAGATATATTTATTCTGTATTTTACTAAAAGATATGTAAAAAAATAAGTATCAGCTGCTCTTCAATTATAAATTCCTGCTAACATACAAAAAAACATTGAATAATCTAACACTTCTGTTGGTTTGAATAACCTGATCTTATAAAAGCTAATGAAATTGAGTACCTTATATTTTTTTTAACTAATTCTCATTTGGGGACAAAATGTTCTTTTGCAAATTTATTCACTTTGTTCTAGAATTTTGAAGCCACTCTGGTATACCTTACATGAGTATCATTACACACAGGAACATATATTTCAACAGCATTTTCACATAAAGAGATAGCAGGTCTTTTATCACTGAAGGTAAAAACAAAACATAGCAACAAAATACTAAATTGTGTACAAAAGTACAAAATACTAAGTTTTGCCTGCTATTATTAGCATATGCACTTCTATGATCTTAATTGTAGCTATCACTTGAATATGCATACTCCCCTATAAATATTTGGTCTTTTATCTGTCTTTTTCATTCAAACAGTTTGCTATCCATATCTTCATTATTTTGGTGATGTGACACAGCGATGCGCAAAAGCATCTTTGATATTAAGGCTCAGGATCAATGACTATTTTAGGCATATAACTTACATGTGGGTGTTCCTAAATTACAAGTTAGAAAGCCAAAAGGATCCTGCAAAGAAACATGTGAACCAATTCAATTGAAACAACTCCTTAAAGATTCAACTAAAATGTTTAAAAGCTACTGTCTTGTGATCACTCATAGTATGAACTATAAAAGAAAGAAGCTAGGAATCCTTATGTACTCACTGATCCCCAAGGCCCTACTTGCCAAGATGCACATTCACGAAGTTCACATGGTGTCACTGATTCTGGTCTGTCATTTGGATTACAGAAGTCATCTCTCATTTGTTCATCATTAAGTTGGCACCAGACATGACGATGCTTCATTCCTTTGCCACATGTCACAGGACACTGTAATATTATTAGAATCATCAGTTTGTTAAGACATGAATCTCCATTAATGGCTTCAATTTCTTCTAGTAATTTGTTGGATTTTAAAGACAGCATACATTACAAAAATAGTCCATGAATGTAAGTAGTCAAAAAAACTCTAGTTCTCTTATTTCCTCTAAGCAGTAACTCAAGTGCTAATACAAAGGAATCACTATTAAGATTCTAGAGATACAAAATAGGAGAACTATGTACAGATCATTTATTTCCATTAGAATAAGGAATACTTGTTTAAAATATGAGTACATATATCACAGCTTTCACTGGAAAAATGATTCTTTTATATCCATATAATCTGTAATAAAATGAATATAATTTTGTTCTTCAGTTGGCTGTATAGTTCTCTTTGCCTCATAAAAAAGGAAGGCATGCATATTACTGTAAATAGATTTACTTTAAGTTGCTTCACTACCTCATATTAGTGAAACAAAATCTAGGAGAAAAAATAAATTCTAGAAGTGTTTTACAGAAGTTCTGATGCAATTTTTTTTCTCATACATCTGGGATGCGTATCAGCTAAATCATAAGACTTCAGAATTTTTACTGCTGTGTACCCAAAAATAGAATAAAAAACCCTAAACACTTAATGCAGCTTATTTTAATATTGATGACCAGGACCAAATGTGCCTTAAGTTTTCCATGGTTTCATTACCTCACTCCATTCAGTAACTGACCAGCTTGGACATAGGAATTCATTGCAACTCTGTGTTACAACTTTTGGAAGTTCCTGGCATTCTCGGTCAGGAAGATGACGACCCAAGTTATTCATACAAAAAGCTTCTCTGGTTCTGACACCTCTTGCACAGCTCCTGGAACACTGCAGTGTACAGACAATATTACAAAACAGGAAACAGAATACTATAAAACCAGGTCAAAATACATTATTACTCTTAAATGTGTAAGACATTATAGATTGTGCTAGACGAATGTGTCCTGCCTATAATGCACAGACTCATAATATGTCCATTTGAGATGAATTCAGCACTTTGTTTAGTAGTTCCAAGATAAAACTCTTGAATGAAGAATAAAACTGAACTTGTACTTACTTCATTTCTCCAAAATACCCTCAGAACTAAATTATTAAGACTGTAAATAAAACATACATCTTTAACTACCAGACCTCTGCTGACTTCAAAAACCAAGTTGCAAACAAGCTACAGTTTCTTATGAAAGTATGAGGAAGTTGTTGAAATATAAAGATTGGTAGTAGCTGTTTCAATAAATCTGTATTTGTCAAAGATTTTTTCCTTTTAGTTAAACTGAAAAAAAAAAAATTGGTATGAATGCTAAGCAGAACTATAATGGTACAATTATAAAGTTTGTAATTTGTACCTCTGACCATTCTGTGTAGTGCCAGCTTGTTAACATACAGTCACCATGGCAGGGCTCTCTGGTTGGTGGTCTCTGCTGGTCAGCACAGTACTTATCATCCACTGGAGCACTGAGTCCTTTTGAAATAGAGTATTTCATGCAGCGGATCTCAATAGACCGATAACCTGGACCACACCTTGTTGTGCAGTCACTTTTGCCAACATTGTGCCACCTACAAGGACAAACTGTTGTAGAAAGCTAACTATGTTTTAAAAAATATGAACATGGCAAATAAAGCACTCAAAGAATGTACCAAGGATTATAATGTAAATACAGATGTGCATTTTAGGGAACAGATAGAACTGTAAAGTCTCTCATGACTGGAATTTTCAAAGCAATATAAAAGGATTTGACTCATGGGCTTAAAACAACTTCTTAAACTTAAAGGATCTTTTGTCTCAATCTCCTAGGTGACTTTGAAAAATGTAAGCTATAATTCTAACTCTTCATCCTCTGAATACTTCAGCATGGGTTTTCTTGGAGTGCAAAAACACAAGTCTGTTTCAAATTAGTTCCAGTCGTGGGTACAATTCTGATGGAAAATATTTCCCACACGACGATACAAGTTTTTTGCCAGGATATATAGAATAGATTCACAATCCTAACACGAGACTTTGTACTTTTCCAATAAAAATTAGAAAAATACCCTAGCTCTACTTAGATTCAGAGGTGTAAATATAATGTACTCCATTATGCCAATAGATTTGAGGAGAAGCAGGAGAGATGGATAGAGGATAAAGCAATCTGAATTACTTTGTTTCAATCTCAATCTCAATCAATAAAAACATATAAGACCATAATAGCTCCATCAGTTAGGAACCTCTGTTTACCTTAATTCACACTCCGTATTACACTCCTCAAAGACACTTGGTACAGTGGGTATAAGTTCACATCTTTGATCAGACACTACCACACGATCACTTTTACGTATACATGTCATTCTTCTTCTTCGGATACCTTGAAAAAGCACCAAAAAAAGCAAATAAGGGGCTAAAATAGGAGTACCTTATGGATTCCATTCATCATTTAGGAATTTAACTGAGATACCCCATTAATACTAATCACTGTATACCGCAGATTCTGCCCAAGCATGCTGACTACGTTCCAGGTGGCGAACAACCTTGTCCCAGTGATCTTTGCCATCTCCCAGCTGTCCTACAGTGGTCTTACAGGATATCAAATTCCAGTGAACTACAAAAGTGCAACACTCCATTCACTCATCAGGCTGAGTATTCCAAATGTATCGTGTCTGTCCTTTGCTAATTAACATATTTTCAAACTACGATGTCAACTAAGAGGTTGTGATCCTTTCCTTTAAGGAAGCTGAAAATTTGATCACAGGCCACCTAAAAGATACCTGAGTGTTGGGAGAAGTAGCACAGTTGACAGATGTTCTGCTTCTCTAGCACATGAGAATGTCTACAGCGAGACTCAAAACCCAAAGAAACTCATCATCACATAACTTGGGGCTTTTCTAGCACCCACTAATAGGACCTTGGGGCTTTTCTAGCACCCATCTGTCAAAAAGCTCTGTACTACACTTTTATACACACATTTCATAAATATTGTGCCTTTATTTTTACACTGGAATGGCCTATAGAATAAGAGTTCAAAATAGTAAAACATATATTTAAAGAGTTTTATCTCATGTAGCAGATAATGAAAAAAAAAAAAACACAAATAAATGTCTAAGAAAAATATTAGGCAAATCAGTGACCATCTCGAAACAGGATAATGCAAGCCTAATGCATATTAGTAGATATACAGTGCCGCTTTCTCAGGATGCATTAGACTTGATTCAACTTTTTTTTTAATAAACCACTCCTTATGTTTACAAATGTAGGTTTAAGTATAGAATTGCACTGCATAAGTACTGAAAATAGCAAAAACAAAAATCAGAAGCTGTTCAGTCCTTAAAGGCTCTGTGCAGTTAAAGCTTACTGAGAGTAACAAATTTCTTCCTTACAAATAGGGGTGAAAAATCAGAGTACTTAGGACTAGTCTCATGCTAAATGCCATCAGGTCTTTGGTTCTGGTGAAAAAATAATTCACAGTACCTTGGCACATCCTGCTGCAGTCTTGCCAGGGTCCATAAGGATCCCACGTAAATAAATCACTTCCATCTTCTATTGGGACATTGAATGAATAACGCACATCAGGGTTGTATAAATTCCCTACACACAAAACCTTGATGAGATAAAATGATAGCTGTTTTTCAGTGAATATGAAGATAAAATTATGAACATAATGTTCATGTAGGAAATTTTCAAACTTAGGAAAAAAGTAAACATGCACCTGTAAGGTTAGCTCCTCTTCGACTCTATCAGTGCCGTTAATTCGTTCTATCGTATTGTTTGACCCACTGTACTCAAAAATGGCTCCTTTTATATTGATTTCTCTTTTTGACATGCTTACAACAAAGTTTCCATTCAAGATAAAATTTCCATGAATATCTGATAAAGCTATAAGTGAAATAAAGCATCTATTTAATTAAAAGATTCTCTCAATAAAAACTCTTAATAATATAGCTTCTTATCAACACAGCTTTATTTTAGCCCATGTATAAAGTCATATCAAATAGTTTCTAATGAGTGAATTCAATCCGAATCATCAGTAACTTTCACCTGAGCAAATTGTCATGGATTTTCTCTGCATTATATGACTTTAATAATATTTGTTCTGCTAAAGGGCTGAATGCAGTCATGATTTCTAAATTTGGTTAGATTCTGCTATGTTGAAGGAAACAATAATTGTCTGTATTTCTGCCCTATTCTACAGCACACATCCTTGCATTTGCTAGAGCTACTTCTAGTGAAGTGGTTTTTAAAAATAAACTTGAAACTGAAAATAAATTATTAAGGATTTATGATAGTCATTTAATACAATGACCAATTTACAATAACGAAGATGAATGACAAGTTAAAATTTTTTGAAATCAGGTAGAATTTGTAGTACAGCCATGCTATTCAGGTATTACTACATTTGAAATGGTAGCTAGAGTTGGGGGTAGGGTTGTTTTTGTGTTATGCAAGCTGCATATGTAACAAGTGGGCAACAGTTGACAAGGAAAACATTTTGAGAATTCTAAAGTTTGTTGACTAGGATGAAAATGGAAGAAGAGACAGGAGGTAAATATTCATCAATATTTTTTCAGGCACTTCAGTTACCACTTAACTACTGTGAAATAGAACAACCAAGATTTTTGGTACAATGTGCTTATGAATTCTCTGTTACCTGCACACAGATACAAATTTATCAACGATCTTTATACTCAGACATGATAGAAAAAGAGAAATATGAGATAACTGATAAGTTTGCTGATGGTCAGATTGTTTTGTTTGTAAAAAAAGTGTATGCTTCCAAGATTTAAAACAACAAATACCTGCATTATTCCTGAGTTCACTTGTGGAGTTTTAATTAACACTATGACAACTAAGTAAAAAATTGACAAAATGATGCCGCATGCTATAATTCCTCTTATCTGACAAAGGAATGCATTCCTTTAAGAATTAGAAACCTAACAATATCTCACTCATTTTTATGGCAACTAATATCTACTGAGAGACTCAGGCAAATGAAGATACACAGTAATTAGATATTTCATCTAAAATCTTTATCAGACTTCTGATAATACACATCTCTAGGAAAGATCCCCGGCAAGAGCACAAAACCTATCCACCAATGTTGTACATAGGAGGCTTTTACCAAGGTAATTGTCATCTTCTGGTTTCCCTGAGTAGCTGTACTGTCGAATATCAATGTTTGTTGCTCCTTTGGGAATATTTACTACAACATTGTAACCTGCAATGTAATTATTCACAAATTAATTATATAGAAAAATAGTCAAATACTAGTAAATATGAACATAGATTTAACTAGTTTTATTTGTAAAACCCTACAGTGCACCAGAGACAACCAATGCTGAATGCCCTCATGTTCTAGGAAGTGTTAGGTTCTGTGTTCAGAAATGTAAATTCAAGTCTTTACCACTAACATGAGTTTAACCTACTCAGAGAAATCCCTAGAGAGTAGCACTACTCTAGAAAGCACTCAAGTACATCAAGTAGGACTCAGAAAACACTGTTACTCCTCAAAACTTAACCACAAAACTTTTATAGAAATCTGAATAAGTCACTTAACATGAAATATCTCAATTTTCTGTTTATACAAGCAAGGTAGTTTTTCTCTCACAAGAGTATTTTATGACAGCACTTTAAAGAATGAGTCTTAAATAATAAGAATGTAATAAAATAATAATAAAAAGTAGGAGTCTAAAATATTGCAGTGCTGCAGGCTGTATGCATAGGTAGATGTTTCAGTTAAACTAGCCATGCTTGATCCACATTCTCCTGCTTAAAGGCTGACTGCACTTCCTTTAAAATACAAACGCTTCACAAATGAGCCATCGTTACTTGTTATATCTCCAATTACTATTATGGTAGCCCTGTCATGAGGTAGCAAACTAAGGTGCATTGAGATCTACTTTTTAAAACAGTCACTCTGCACATAAACATAGGTTAAAAAAACCCAACCTGTTTCTCACAGATATTAATCACAAATTCTAAAGGATTCTTAAAGCTGAGAGAAACTGAGGAAGGCAAACACTGCAAACAAATAATAAAAACAAACATGCAATCTGAAGTATTAATATAAGCTCTGATAACTTTTCCACCTATTTCACTGTGTTTAACAATCTTGCTGGGATTTAACTTTACTTGACTCAACTCTGTGGGTAAAAATTTAAACGACAATATTCTTTTCATTTTGTATTAGGTTTGGCTGGGATAGAGTCTGTAGTAGAGTCAGTAGCTGGCATTGGGCTGTGTTTTGTATTTGTGCTGGAAAATGTTGATAATTCAGGGATGTTCTTGTTATTGCTAAGCAGAGCTTACATAGCGTCAAGGCTTCTTCTGCCTCTCATACCACCCCACCAGCAACAAGACTGAGGGTGCACAAGAACTGGGAGGGGACATAGCCAGGAAAGCTGTGTCCTGGACAACTGACCACAGGAATATCCCAAACCACAGTGTCATGCTCAGCATATAAAGCTAAGGAAAAGGAAAGGGGGATGGTCGAAGTAATGGCATTTGTCTTCCCAAGTCTCTGTCACCTGTGATGGAGCCGTGCTTTCCTGGGGTTGAAAACCTGCCTGTCCATGGGAAGTGGTGAATTAATTCCTTACTCTGCTTTGTGGCTTTTGCTTTACTTATTAAACTAAATTGTCTTTATCTGAACCCATGAGTTTGCTCACTTTTACTCTTCCGATTCTCTCCCCCATCCCACTTGGAGACAGTGAATGAGTGGCTGTGTGGTTCCAGCTGGGGTTAAACCACGAAAAATTTCATAACTCACTAACTTTCCAGTGCTTTTAACTTATTAAAACTATGCCATGCATTTAAATGAAGATTTCTAATTACAGGTCTATCACATTTACCAGCTGGGGGCAGCACTGCAACTGCAAATTGACACTGCAAGCTCCGGATAAATACAGTTTGATCCATCTTCCAGCATACTGGGACAAAAAACCAAAACACACTCAAAAAAGCCCCTCATCTCATACAATAAAGACCTTGTGACAATGCAGTGAAAGAAGACCAAACATGGGGGGGAATTATAAACAAAACTGAGAATGACCCTTATCCAGGGAATCCTCAGATACTCTAATGGGACGCAATAATAATAGTCAACATAATAATAATAATGTGTACATCATTAGATTACCATTTCCTAAAACAGGAGCCAAGTAAATTAGTGTTCCCCTGTAATGAATTTCTGATGATCACTTCATAATGTTTAAACAGTTACTGACAATATTATGACTGCATGAATACAAACACATACTACAGGCTGCTACTGTCAATTCCAAATCCTGCCTTACAAGTAAAATGACTGATTTCAGTGTGAAATGGAACCAAATGAAGTTAAAATCAAAAGATCAAGTGCACAGACTGTGGCATACTTATCTTGTTATTCTAATTCAGAAGTTTTTTGAAAAAGAACATTTCCTCAGACAATGTCTTCAGTTATCTGCCTAGGTATGTCTTAGGCCTCCCATGGATGCTGGAGTTTTTTAATGGTCATCTAACTACAACCTTGTTTGCATTGCTGTACTCCTAGTTGAGCATGCCTAAATGATAATCCCGAATGTTTAGCATAGTGTCCAGTAGTATCATCTTTTATATTCTATAATTCCAAGAATTTGAACATAATTTAAACATTCAACTAAATGCAAAGCCAAATAGTAAATCAAGGTTTTCCTCATCCCAAAACATGGGGCTTTTTTCCCCTCCAATTTCAATTTGAAGCAAATAAGTCTGTGACGATGGAAAGTTGATGAACAGTAAGAGAGTGACACTCACAACCATATTTGCATAAATGGCAGTTTCACATAATGGTCACTTGAATTGTAATGAATGTATTTGTGACAAAATTTATCCACTGCCTATAAGCAGCTTCTCAGGACAGACTCAAGAAAAAATACATGTATTTGTATGGTAAGGGTACCTGTATCCCACCTTCAAGATTTCTGGTAATTTTCAACTGGTGGAAGCCCTCTACCACAGAAAAGAAAATCCAACAGGACACTTGGCATACTTTTCTCTTCACCAGCAACTCCTTTGTTCTATGATGATCCTATTTGGCAGCTCTCTGGGTATCATTTTCATTTCGCCTATGATCTCTTCCAACCAGTGAAGTGGCATGAAGGAGCCTTTAGGCTGATATCAACCTGGAGAGTTCTGTCCTTATGTTCTGTGCTCTAACTACTTAATTGCACTGCTACACACATATAATAATCTCTCCATACTTTCCAAAACACACTACATATAGAAGAATTATCAGTAGCTCTGTTAGAGAAACTAAATCAAATAAATAGGAAATACCAGGGTTATTCAGAAGATTCTCATTCAATACCTGCCAGTGAAGAGGAAAGAACATAAATATTGCTATCCCTGTTCTCTGGAAAGATAAGGTTCACATTTCACAGGCTATTTTCTTCACTATAGGAGAAAAGGAACCTCATCAGCTGCTCACAACAGACTTCTTTCTATTTCTTCACACAATCAAAAGGAGACATTGGAATATGTCCTTCAGCTGCATAGTTTCAGACAAGAGAATGAAAAGTACAAAGCAGGAAGCATTCTTCCTTTTAAAATACTTTTACTCTCAGTATGTCTTTTACTCATGCCTTTTGCTTTGACCTTGGGGCAGACTGATTTTTTTTGCCACTTGAATGGGTTACTATGTCACAATGCTTGCCCCTGCATCCTTGAGAGGGAATGTGACTGAAAATTAGAAATATTTTTTGTTGATAAAAGCCCTAAAGAACATACACTGACATCCTACTTCCTTAAATGTAAAGCATAATTTCTAAGCCATACTGAAATGTGCATCAAGATTTAGAAAAAAAACAAAAAAAACCCAAACATACCATAATGAGCACTGTTGAAAGTACCTGCAAGTGTCTTACATGAAGAATTATCACCACCACAGATTCCACACTTGTCTATCCTTGCCTTGGAATTCAAAACGTGATCACAGCCTGCTTGCTACAAAAAATAAAAATAATAAAAAAGCCCTGTGTCAGTCAGTCTAATGGAAAACAATGAAAACAAACAATGTAACCTTCCCCCTACCCCAAAATATTCTTGTTCACTATATATAACTAATCTTCCTTGGAAATTCATTAAAAGCCTTTCAAGTTTTTGGGTGCCGAGATATAAGGGCAAAGCACAGTGGTGCTGTTGTATTAAGAATGTACAATCCAAACAGAAGACTTAATGTGTAAAGAACTGTATAAGAATACATAACAGTACGTTAAGACTTTGTATTAAAAAAATGAACATAGTGTATAAATTTTAAGCTATATTTACATTAAAAGTCTTGGAATCCTAAAAGCAGTATGTGTGTGTACATGGTCATCAATTCCTTTAAAGTCTGTCATTACTGCAAAATAAGCAAAGGAATATGCATAGACTATGATGGTTAAACTAACACAAGCACGATTTTTGTTTATGTATCTTTACTTAAACTTCCCTTTTTATTGAACTACGATAAAAAGAACAGTTCTCTGGCATTTCCTCTTGATCCAACACTATAAAAAGAGCTACATATTCTCCTCATCCTGAATTTACTCAGTTTCATTGCAATCAGCAGAACAGAACAACCTGGGCTTGACAAAAAAGCCTTCAATTGCTATAACATAGTATCTTGCTTCTCCCAGCAAAATCTAGTGGCAATGCCACAGTTGTTATTAAGCAAAGAATGCTGAATTGATCCCCTTCAGGGGTCAGTTCCTCCTGATTTTACAATGAAATAATAATATTGTAACCTATCTACCCTTGGATTTTCTACTTTTTTACTTCTCTGGTACCAGAAATACAATGGTAATAAACATATAGCACACTCCTTCCTTTTCTTTATGCCCATTTTGGATCAGTTGCTCTCTACCCACTTGGACAATATTAACTCTCTCACATATGAGGCTTGATAAGGCAAGACTCTGGGTCTTCAGACTCAATTATACGTTCTTCACTTAATTGCCTCAATTTCTAGATGTCTAATTTGATAGGGAATAAAATTAGCTTAAGCAAACTCAAAACATCGCATTTTCATTAATGTTTATTTGGATTAATATTAAATATCTACTTTACCATCTGCTAAAATTGATTTTAATAATTAATAAGTTTAGATTTAAATACCCTGCATAAGCCTTGAACACAAAGGTCATTGGTTTCTGCTCCACAGGGAGTACCATCAGCAACTCTGTCCTTCAGCTGATAGTAGGAAGTTGTTCCAGAAACTCGGCAAAAAAGTTTACAGCGATCTTTCATAGAAACTGGAAAGAAAATCCAACAGGTTTCTTGTCTGTTTTAAAACTTTAAATAAAGTAACATATCTATTTTGTTAGTTGAAAAATGCATAATTACTTACTACCGCTGTATTTTGGAACCCAGCGAACCGCAGATGTAAGACCATTGATGTTGAAGTGTTTGCCATCAAACTCAGAGCACTGCTGCTCGCGGAAATCTTTTTTGTCTTTTGGACATGAATCCGTATTACATGACCGAAATTTCATCCTGCGACCGACACAGTACTTTCCTCCATTTCTTGGCCTAAAAAAAAGACACTCATTTTCTAAAATTGCTGTTTTCCATTAAAAGTGGCTCGAGCCACTGATATAAAAGGCAAAATCTCACACAGCATTGTCAGCTATTACTGACTGAAACATATACACTTAACTTCTATTGCACTGCGTATTCATTTATACCCACAAGAAGAAAATGAAACAATCCTTGTGAAATACTACTGCTGAGGTAGGTGGTAACCAAGCTACTGATGTTTATTAACAACTATTACACTTTTACTTCTCTTAGAGTTACAACTGTTTGCCTGGGAAAAAGCATTATTAACTTTAATGTTTTTATTAATTGAGCTAAGATTATAGCCTTATTTTTACAGAAGAAGCATCTCCTCAGCAATTTGAAATTATTATTTTACAGAATGACAAAGAAAGAAGAAAATTAGGAGCTGACATACTCTTTTCTGTAGTCCTAATATTGGTTCAGTTTGGAGATCAAAAGCAATAAAAAGGGAAAATTGTGGAAAATACCCCATTTACTGTAAAGCCTAAAATACATTTCCCAACAGTCATAAATTCTGATGCAAAATAATCCAGTATTAGTATGTTCTTGGGGAAGACAAGAATGTATCAATGGCATATGGACACTATCAATTACTACAGACTAATAGAGGTATATCTAATGGCAATATAGTCTACTGCCTCTTGCTCATCAGAGAAAATAAAATAAAGTGGGGTCATCTGATAGAAGTTAATTTATCCCACTGATAATATTAAGAGGACATGACTTCCTAGAAAAACCCTGAAACAACCTAGGGAGCAGCTGTGGTTCTGCTTCTGGACAAGTTAAGGGTAAAGTTCTCCTTGACTTTTATTACAGAGAACAAAACCCACATGGAATTTTTCGTCAGTGGAAGTTTCTCATTACAAAGGTAAGCTGTAAATAACTGCTATAACCAGTGTTCCTTGTGGGGTGTTACTGGTGGCAGTATTGTGGGAAATCCTTAAATCAAAGCAAATCAAGTGTTTTACTAAAGAAATTAGTGGAGAATACATATATTTATTTTTTCAGCTCCTACTCCAAAAAAGGCATCTCAATGTTTAAAGAAATCTCAACAGTTAGAGTAAATCTTAAAAAAACCAATCAAACAAAACAAAACTGCCAAAATACGTCTTCAGAAACACCTGCAAGTATAAATTATATTGTTTAAAGACAAAGGTGATCTAAAAGTCCTCTGCATATTAGAGTCTGTAGGCCTATATCTCTTTCCAAACACGGCTGAAACAAGCATGTTTTTACTGGTGCTTCAAACTGATTTGCACAGCTCACAATTTTGATTTGAACCAATCCACTCTTTCTTAATATCTTTATTATGCACTAATGTAGAACAGAATAAAAAACATACTCTGGTCGATTACAAAGCCTGGTAGTGCTCTTGATTCCACCTCCGCAAGTTCTTGAACATGAGCTGTAAGGTCCCCATGGCCCCCATTCTCCATCTACAGGACGCATCTCCATTTCTCTGCTCACACAAATTCCACGGCGGCAATGCTGCACAGTTGACAAATAGAATAAAATTTTTAATTCCAAGCAAAAGCTTACTGTATATTTTAGCCACAGAAAGAACAAAATTTAAGAGCTAACTATTCTTATCTGGATTCAAATATTTTCTAAAATGTTCAGTTTCCTTTGAGATAACTTAACCAGTACTCATATTTTCAAAAATGCTGCCTAGACTTCTTTGCTCACTATGAAAGCTACTGGATGCTGAATACATATTTAAGTCTTGTCGCTTCATTCAAATGCCTCTACAAGACTCTTACATTCCTGAATTCCCAGTATGTTTTCTTGCACAAACTTCAAAAATAGATTTACAACTGTCTTTTATGTTTGAGATTTTCCAGTTTAATTTGGAATTCATTAGGATACAAAAAGTGAAAAATTATAACAAACCACCAAGAAAATTGGGGTGTTTTGAACACCTCAAAAGCTAACTATCTAGATGAATTGTTTGGGAAAAGCAGCCAAGCACTTACGACCTTGGTTATGGTAAAGCAAAGTGATGCTAGAATTTCATGTTTGAACTCAGACTTTCACACCTATAACAAAAGGTGTGAAATATTTTATTTATCTTTTACAAAATCTTTTTTATTTACTACTAATTAAAAAAATGTTATTACAATTAAAATGGAATTAATAGTTAGATAAATAATAACTCTTAGAGCAAGATACTACTTTACAATGTCGATTCTGTTACTTCGGATTTTTTTTCTGGTGAAGAACTAACTATTTCCAACTAAAAATTTACATAAAAGAGTAATTTCCATTTCATCTGCTGGGATTTACATTATTAAGAAGACAAAGATTGCAAAACTATTTTTTTGTGGTTGTGTCAGTTATGAGACCTCAATACACTGTAACTGTGAACTGTTATTATTTATAGAAAGTTGTAGTTACTTTTTTTTCCCAGAAGCATCAAGTGATCTATCTCTTGCTTCTAAATATTTACTGTCCAGTATCTGACTGCACTTCAGTGGTTATTCAAGCAGTAACTGACTAAAAAGTCTAAATGAGAATCTTATGATTAGTGCATGTGTGACTTTTTCCCAAGAACCCGCAGGAATTACCAGCACTAATCCTGTTGATGACTTATGGCAGTTGGAATTCTAATTCACTTGTATGCTTTAGAAAATCTCGAGCAGTATATTTGATCACAACATAGTGGAATAGTTTACATACTAATATAGAATATTTACAAGATACTATAATGTCAGCACAATGTATCCTGCTGACTTCCAAGTGGATAATGTGTCAGCTTTGTCCTGGACTCCAAACACCACTTGAGGCATCACAGACTGCCCATATCTGGAGACAAGACACTGGGTAGGGCTGAATACATGGGGTCAGTGCTTGTACATAATAGAGAGAATTTTTCATTTTAGATGCCTGTTTGCAGATTCAGAATTAGACTGATAATTAATTAGGTTCATTGTCAGGAGGGATTCTCCTAGTCATATTGACAGGGAGTGACTTATTCCATCTTTCCGTGCAGTATGTACATGGATCAGTCATTGGAATCATCAGAGCAGATTATGTTAACTCAACTGCTTATTATTTCTGAAGCTCAGGCTTTGCCTGTCCACAACACAAAACAGCCTTCAATTACTTTAAAGTCTAGAAGGATTTTGGTAACTAAAGTCTCTGGCACATAAAACAATTTCAGAATCTCTGATACACAAAAGATAAAATAATTCAAGGTTTACACCCCTTTTTTTACAACTATATCATTTTACAAATTTATTGTAGGAAGTATCAATTAACATAAATTTTGCTGAACACACAAAAACTGTGTACAATCTTTCTGAATATAGCCAAATGGCACAAAACTCAGAAGTTGTTCAGTGGTTTTATTACTGCGTAAAATAATACCTAAACGCAATTTTTTCGTAATTAGTGTATGCTTTTTTTATATGAATACTTATGTTCTATGCTATTGATCATTTTGCTCTCAAAACAGGAATTTGTTACAGAATCTGATTCTCTTTTCAGGGTTCTGCCTGAGTTCCTAATTCAACTTGATGACAAAACTGCCTGCTTGTATAACTCTTCATCACACCAACTCCTGTGCATAGGCCATACCTTTTAAGCCCTGAATGCCTTTCCCTAAGAATATGATCATTCCAGGTGATCATAAAGCCCAAAGCAAACACAGAAAAAAATCTAGATCTGTCTTTTCATTTAACCATTTAAATGATCCAGTCAATTGGCCAGATCAGCACTTGCTTGATGCTAAGACTAATGCTTTAACTTAACACCAAGAAAAACTACATACGTGTATACAAAGTCTCACAGGAGTGCTTACTGTTAGTTTTTATCAATTTTTTCAAGATGCCCTTACGGTACTGGTACCTTTACATACAAACCTTCTACTACTTAACATCAAGTACATAGCAATAAAAGATAGTGCAGCCATAAGATAAATGAGGAAACATTAAAAACTTTTTAAGTCCTTTCTAAGAACTGTCATTAGCTTTTAAAGAAATAATTTCTTAGACTATAGGTTGAAGATTTTAAATCTTCCCTCACAAAACAAATACTGCATTTTAATATGTGACAATGACCTAGCATTTAAGTTTTTCTTCCATCCAGAAAAACATTTACAGTAACTTGAAGGGAAATTTCAGGAAAAGAGAGAGTTGTGAAATGAAATTTTATATCCATAACAGCATTATTTTGATCCATAAAAATGCAAAGCATATGTTCACATCTGGGATTTTTAACAGTTTATTCAACAAACTTGTCTCAGCTATTATTCTGCTGCATTCCTACTGAAGCAACATGATGAAGTCACGGTAGAAAACTCCGGCACCAGACATGTTCCAGATGTTCCTCTGTGCTTGATTGAATCATTGCTTCACTGAGAATACTGTGATATACAGAACTTCCATAAACTTAAATATAATTGCTGAACAATTTTTTCCTGCATTTTTTATGGCAAATATAATGTATGTATCATGTAAAGTGAGTATCACACTTAATTCCAAACACACTGACTACAGTAAGTGACAATGCTGCTCTAGCCAAGATCAACAATTGGTTTTCTGTCAAAAAGACAGAAATTCTGACCCAAATCTGTATCTAATTATTAAATCTTCAGAGATGAGAGGGAGGGTTAATGATTTAAATTTGGTTTGTATTTTTTAATAACCTGCTTATAATAAACACTTTGACTCTTACCTATGGATTACCCTATGATTTGATAAATTGAGTGCTTCCAACTTATCTCTCACTGAATTTGCCAGATTTCTAGGAAAGCAACTTTGAAAGAAATTATTAAAGTATTACTTGCCAGGCTATGTTTGATTTTGACTGAATCAAGGAGAGTGATAGATACATGCGGAACAGGACTAGAGCTCCTCTGAAATCAAGCACTTCCTACACAGCCTTGTATGACTCACAGCAGGAAAAGAACTCCAAGTTCATTCTTATTGCCTATATTTTCCAGGCTACTCACTCTCCAGAGCAGTTAATAAAATGAGTATACAAGACAGAAACAATGGAGCTTGGAAAGACATCTAACTGAAGCTGTAACCACGGCATCTCAGGTCTCTCTGTAGCATGGCTCCTCAGACAAGTCTAAATTTATAACTCAAATACATTATCTAAAAACCCCACAAATTTTTATTTTTTCAAATTTTCAATTTGTTTTTACAAAAACTCTGCATACTTTATTTTTTCCCTTGAAACTTTTAATTTTCTGTAATTACATCTCATCAGAAAAGTATTTCTGTGAAATCTCAGTTTATAGAAAAAATTCTTGGTTTGAGCCCATACTTTGCTCTGTTCTTACAGTTCAAAAGATCTGCTGCTGCTTTCCAGATGGTGAACATATCCCCCTATCACCCACCTCTGATAAAATCCATCTGAATTTTTTATACATACTTTACATATATACACATAAAATGATTTATTCTTTCAGATAAAATATCTTCATGTATTACATTCATGAGGTAGGCAAGCTATGCAATGATTTTTAATGGAAATCAATACATGAGTAGTAACCTACAATTGAAGAACAGTAAACATATTCCAGAATCAGACTGGTACTTCTTTTACTGTTCAAAGCAATTCTTTGCTGCTCTGCATCCCCATTCTCAATTGTCCCTGTAACCCTATCTTCTGTGTTAAAGTGATGAAACCTTAATTCACTTGATACCTATTCTAGATGCTGGCTCAATATATATCTACAGTGAATAGAAGTGATAAACATTTCTCTAAAAGACACAATGAAACTGTTACTTGTGTCCTGTGAATTCCTTCTTGCTGTTACACAGTTTTTTCCAGACATTTCTTTTCCTATGTTTAAGTAGTGAACTGCCATTATGTAGAATGGGACTGCGCCAGGACATGGAAAAGTTTGGGTCAGAATCACATAGGTACCTCCTACCTCTCCATTCCAATGTCCAAGGAATCAATGCAGTATGGGCATATTTCTATATTCCTCAGGAATATAGGAAGGACCAGAGTGCAACCCTTTCAAGTGCTTCAAAAGGTAATTATAAACCCCCCACACTTTATTGGGTATTTTTGCTGTTATTTTCATAGCAAAACCAACTTGTTCAGAGAATGCCACTCCTAGAAGATAGATGGTTTCAACAACTATTTCTCTTTGGAGATCTCTTTTCTGGGGCGCAAATGTATATCACTAACTCCAACAGATGAGTTATCATTATTGGAATAAATATCATATAAATTACACTGCTAAAAACTGCATCAACTTCATCATACAGAAGCCATGATTCTGAGCCAGGTGTATGTTGGAGATGGATGTGTAAGAAGAGTTTGTATATCAGTTGGCTTGTAGCTAATTTGGTTACATATAGGTCCACCATGAAATGGGATTAAGTATTTTCTCTGAATGTCATCAACCACACTGTGAAAACTGGTACCCTGAGATTTAGAATTTTGTTTGTTTGTTTTTAAATATGAACAAAGATATTCAAAATACCAAAACCTGAATCACTCTCCAAACTCACTCCTTTGGAATTTTAGAAGGTTAAAAAAACATCTCCAAAACTTCTCATGTTTAAGGTATGGAAAAATCATTTATACTATCCCAAGAGGATAAACGCAAGTAAATTTCTTACTACAGAAACTCCCAAAATAAAAGAAACAGATAACAAAATCAAAGAAAGCAACTGAAAACATAATCCAAACAAGAGTCTGCTGGTCTACAGAAATTTCAAAGCACAAAGAAATTTTCAACTGGAACACAACAAGAAAACCCAAGAGGAAGCAGGGCTAGAAGTTCTGCTCTAAGTTCTTCACGTTTCCTAAACATCCCCCAAATTAGCACCTATCTGGAACAAGATAACAAGAATTATGGCTAAGAGAAGAAAACTAGGCCAATTAAAGCAGTTCAGTTTCTGTCCTAATGGAAAACAATTCTCTCATATGTCTTGTAATGCTAAGGAGCATCCTCTGCTATCTTGGTCCTCAATGCAGCATATAAATACTGTTCTTACTGTGATTTATGTTTGTAATTTATATATAGTTTATACCATGACAACAATTGCAACTGTATCAACAAAATTTATTGTAGCTTTCAGTGAGGAGGGTACATCTGAGTAATCATACAGCACTGTTCTTAATTTCAAAGAAACTCCCATGGTAGTTTTGATGACAGAAACAAGACACACAAAAAAGCACTAAAGATCTAATATTTTCATGGTATTGTGCCCCATTTCACAATAAAAAAAAAACATTTTAATACAAATTTTATTTTGTAGTTATGACATGTAATTGTATTTAGGAAGACAACTCAGGGATATATATTTTTGTGTTTAATAATATCTCTCATGAAAGACCAGAAGCACTTTCAAGTAATGACTAATGTAGTCCTATAGTGTGTAGAAATTCATCCCTGCAAAACTAATAGGTGTTTACATATGGCATGTCTAGTTATTTTGGCTATCATTTTGTCTCTGAAGTACTGAATAGGCTGCACTCCCTGCTTCAGAGAAGGTCTGTTTGATGTTAAAAGAGCTGGCAGAAACTTGGACTTCCTACAAATCTTTGTGAAACCAAATAGACAAATAGACCTGAAGTGATGAGACACAACATTAGTGAGGAAGTGAGAAACTTTACTCAGACATGGCAGAATTGCTACTTATAGGCTACTGTCAACCCTTAGAACTCAGAATGTATAATAACAGGAAATGAAGAGAAAATTTCAGATATTTCAGCAGAAGCCAAACAAGCAAATATAATCCATTTTTACAGGCAGTTCTAGGACAAGCAAAGTACAGTTTGATCAGCTCAAAGAAATTTAACTAGTCAGCAAATTGAAGTAAAATTAAAGGTTGTTTTCTTTTTTTTTTTTAAATAATAATTACAGATAATAATATTACCTCAGTAAACTTAATACAGGAAATGTTCAGATTACCAAGAAAAATTTTCTTTATTGTCTATAAGACTCTGAAGAATTAGGTTGTATTATCCCTTTAATGTTTTAGGAAAATGCTACCCATACCTACTGCTGATATTATATATATATTAAGTCACTGAGCTCTAGAGGTGTGTGCACCATGAGACATACAAAACACAATTCTCTTTCAAAATGTGTGCATGTTGATAGATTGCATATGGCAAGAAAATATTCCATTAGGAAGTGTAGTCGTTCAGGAAAAGTATGGCATGCACTTAAGAGTCTCTGATATTACTAGATTTCTATCTTGTAATTTTTGGGAAGGAAAGACACAAGGACTGTTAGAGTAGTCCAGAATAAGACCCATTAATCAGACACACAACCTGTAAAATTTAGGCTTAAAGAGTTCATACTAAAATAACAAATGCCTTTCGTGGACCTTTTCTATATTCATCACAGCAATAATGTCACAAATGCCAAATATAAATTGATTTAGCTTGCTGGTAAATATTAATTACAATTACTAGTCACCATGTCTTATGCCCATTAACATCAACAGCAGCTTGTGGACTGAACTTGAAAAGAGCTGTCCCTTAGACAGAAACAGATGACAATTTGTCAGATTAATTAATTGCTGTTCTTTCTTACATCTTTCAGAGGTAATGACTGTAATTAGCTCTTAACTTCCTAGAGAAAAATGGTTTCACAGCACTAATTACATAAAACAGGATTTTGTATTCCTATATAAAAGAAATCCTCTGATGTTGGTAAATTAGAGTCAATTTAACTGAAGATGACATTTGAAGTTTACATAAAAGATGAACTTCCTTTCTGATCAGTGACTGAAAAATGGGTTAAACATTGTAAAACCAGCTGCAACATAGACTATAGTCAAGCTAAGCCTCCACTCCAACCTTCAAGTAACTTTTTATAATCTTGCAGGACAGAAAGAAACCTTTTGAGACAGTTTAACCCCTAAATTGTTATCCATTAAGACCCTGTTTACAAACTTCTCACCGATACTGTCTTTTCAAACACAGAATCTGTAGCAATTAAAAGTTATTGGGGAAAATGTAGAAATAATGGAGGGAAATGTATCAGCTTATCATACATAGAAATTAAACTAGATTTTTTTAATCATCTTTGAACATATAAAACTATTTAGAGAAATTTTAACGTTGCTCCCACAGCCCCTGAAGCTGCCAAAGCACACAACTATTAAAAGCAGCTCAGCATAATAAAACATCTCTACTTAGATAATCACTGTCATACCTACTCATAATACCCTGTTTGCCAGTCATGAAGTGAGACATGAAAAAGCCTAATACTAGACCAATAAGGAACTCAAGCAGCTAACTTCAGTTTGCTGTCCAAACTACATACAAATCCAAAGACAAAAGCAAGCCTCAAATCTCCACTGAAGAACTACATATACAACAATTTTAACTAGGTAAAAGTGCTATGTATTTACAGAAATACCCCTCCTCCCTTGTATCAGTTTAGGAGGAGAAGCAGTCTCTTTTCCATTTCCAGAGCTACAGGTCTTCTAAATAATTTTGCAGCACTTGAAAGTTCCTCTTTTATTATCTCTAGGACAACAACTCGAATTTGTTGCAGCTGGAACTGTCTCTCTCTCTTCAATGTCGACCTCAGGGCTGGGCCTACCCCATCCTGGGCTCAGACCAGAGGCTGGGGGTTAGCTGGGTCTTGTGGGGTCTTCCATGGACTGCAAGGGGACACTTGCCTCACCATGGTCTTCAACCACAGTTACAGAGGATAATGGCTTTTGAGTCCACCCCTGTTTCTCGTGGCGTCCCTCCCCACAAGAGACAGTTATTGATGAACTTCCCTAGTGTGAGTCCACTTTCAGGCAAGTTCTTCCATTCACTGCTGTCCCTTAGGGTCACAAATTCAGCTGCACCAGCGTGGATCCCTCACTGGCATCACAAGTCCTACCCGGGATGACTGGTTCCAGTATAGGTCTCTCCATGGGCCACAGGTCTCCAGCAGGACTCTGTTTCACCTTAGGCCTCCCACAGGGTCACAGCCTTCTCACATGCATTCACCTGCTTCAGCATGGTCTCCTTCATGAGCTGCAAGGGGGCTCCTCATTCAGTAATCTTCCACAGATGGCAGGGTTCTTTTAGTTTTCAGTCTTTTCCCTGCTGAAGGGAGAGAGAGGGCAGATTGAAGGAGCCCCCGCCTCGGGCCTCTCTTCTCTCTCCTCTGGCTGACAGCTTTGACCTTGGAGGCGGCCCTATCTCTCTGCCTGGAATTCCTTCTGCAGCATGTCTTGTCCAGGCAGTTTCTCCTTAGAGTTTTTCCTCCACTTTGTTACGTCTTGGTCAGGGGAGCTTCAGTGCCACGCCTGCCCCCAGCCCAGGGCCAGAGGTAGGAGAGGGACCTGGTCCACACCTGGGGTCTGCCGCCTCCCCTACATGGGTCCTAATTTCTTCTGCATCACACACCTTCTTTTCTGTTTTCTTAAAAATGTAATTAGCAGAGGCGTTACTCAATCAAACTTTTGATTGGCTTTGCTCCGGAAATCTACTTGGAAAAACTATTTTCAGTCCCGGGGGAAGCTGGTCAGCAAACCCACGACACTCATACTTAATTTGTTCTGGCTCAGTGAAACAGCCTCAACAAGACCAGCTGGGGGAAATACACTTTTGGGATGTCATATTTCAGATAATTCTACTTTGGAACTCTACTGATCAGGAAAAAAAACAAGTTATTATGCATGACCTGAATTTTTCAAACAGAGGGAAAGATGGCAACTTCCCCCTGAGTTCTCTCACCTATTTTTAACCAACATGGTATCTGTAAACTTTAATAATTACTCTGAACAATTATGTTTTTTATGACATAACATTACAGAATTGCAGGTGAAGTCATATAGACACTCTTCACACAATCAGTATACTAAAAGCACAGTATTGCCACACAGCGAGCACTGATCTTTCTTATCTACATCAAAAATTGCAAGTACTGAGAAACAAATCAAGGCTTACCATTCCCACACCACAAACTGTTCCATCAGCCAAAGGCATGTGCTGAGTACGACAACCTTTGTGAACACCTTCTGTGCTTGTGCACCATAAGCGTTTGCATTGTTTCTGAAAAGAAAAACACTTTTAATACCATTTTAGACATTAGTTGTGATATGTGTACTCTCTCATACTGTATGGGCTTAGTGTTTGCTATTAGTACTACCATTTTCCACAGATAAAACCCCACGAAAACAAAACGGACCTTGATTAAGGCCAAGCAGGAAAGTGGAATATTTGAAACTCATCCCATTAGAGTAACAGATAACTTTATTTTCTATTTCAGTTAAAAAATTAATTTTAAAATATGTAAGAGCTTATGGTTCATACTATGCAGTTCAGTTTCCACATAAGCCCCCAAAGAAAAGCTCTGAGTTCAACATTAAATACACTGACTATAAAATTAAGAAGAAAGCCTCCTTTTCAAATTGTTAAAAGACTCTTAACAGAAAAATAACCCATATGGATTACAGAAACACTGTCTTCAGTCTTTGAAGTAACCTTTTCTTTCCTTTTCTATAATTTTTCCATAAAGCCTGACTCCTCCAAAACAACATTTACCTCACCTCCACTTAATTCAGTATGAATCTGATCTTAAACTCTCTCCTTTAAACCGCTCCAACAAGCCATGCAATATTAGTAGAGGTATTTTACAACTTAGTACGAAATCTAACCCTACATGACATCCTGACAGTAATGTGTAAAATCATAATGTTATAATTGTGCTTATATTGAAATGGCCACATTAAGTTTTCACAATACAATTTAAGTTTCAAAATTATTCTAGTCAAGTTTTCTTTCCATATCTATCTAAATTTTGTATACAAAATATACACTCTGTCAGGCTTGAAAATATTTTTTGACTCTCTGAGAAAGTAGGGAGTCAGTTTGGATCATTTTGAACAAATGTTTGAGATCATATATTAGCTTTTAAGCTATAAATTTTTAAAAGAAGCAGAGAAGCAAGACCTGCTAATGTAAGATGTGACCTATAATATGAAAATATTTGCAGGAAGTGTTGAAATAATTCCCATTCAGTTGTTGCAGAAAACCTTAATTTATGCCATTTTGGATCATTTAAAGAAATTATCACAATCAAAGACATGGAAATCAAAATGAATACATCCTACTTTTTGTTTCTATATATTTCTTGCATATGAAGTTGCAATGCTGTCCACTGAATGTTTTCCCTTTCAGAAGAATATAACCTGAACTTTTACTTATTTCAGGACAAATTTATTCCCAAACCAGTAATTTTCAGTAACTTTTTAGTCTAGATTGATCATGACTTTATCTGGTTTTCACTCACCAGATATGGGCACACTTGTGATCCAATACCAAACGTAAGTTCACACTGCTTGTTGACATCATATATTGACCCTGGTAGCTGAGAGGAAAGATCATATATTCTTCCACTAGGTTTGTCTAGGAGGCATTCACCATAGCCAGTACTGTTGTAAAACAGAAACAAAATGTGAATAGATCGCTCTTAATTCATTGGAAACCTTCTCACTACTCACACAACACTTATACACGTATATCTGAGTGGAGTTATGGGTTTGCATGCCTACTTGCTATATAATTACTTTAACTAAAATTCATGAATAATTAAATAAACCAGGTTACTTGGTTTTCCTTTTTTGTATTTTTCATTTAGATCCATCAAAAAAAATGAAGTTTTTTTTTTCTGGTGGACATTTCTCATTAAAAAAAAAAAAAAGAGGAAAAAAGAGAAAATGCTACAGCCTAAATTATACTTTTCACTTATTTTTACATAAAAACTTCAGAAAATAAACAGTTCCTATTCTAGCCTATTAAAATCATACTGAAGATTTTTTCAATAAACTATTGAAACTATTTTTTCAATAAACTAAACTACATTTAAGAAATAAAAAATCCTTTAGATTTGTACATTCAGTGTAACTTTAACAAAGTCATGAATCATGTATTTTTCTGGAGTACTAAGGCCCTACAAGTTAAGCCCTCTTAGGTTAAACCTAAGAGCAGTGCAAAAACTGTATTTAAGCAATACCTTTAAAATACATGAAATTGGAAAAAACAAAAAAAAAGTTAAGAACCCTCCAAACCATTGCATTATATTGACACTCACTCGAGAAATTCAGTGATATATTTTTGACTGCATTTTGACCAGGTCCATGGACTGGTATGATAATTTAAAGTTGGAGCCATCACGTGATACTGATGTTTAATTCCAGCTTCTTTACATTTAAAACTGTCATCATGAGGCACATTAAATCTAAAAAGCAGAACAGACAAACTGCAAAACAAATTCAGCAATAATTAACTGAAATTCTCTTTGCTGTAACAGCAAATGTGTTTTCAACTCAAACGAGTTTGAAAATTCCTTAAAATTTAATGGATCTCAATATATCTATCTTATGGCAATATTATGGCAATAGGTATCTTTAAAATGTCTTATATAATTCTCTCCTTAACCAAATACCTTCCTGGGTACAGGAAGAATTTTACAATTACTTAATATTTTAGCTCACCAGAAAAATTTCAGTGTTTTAGGAATATGCCCCTTTAAAGGAACAACCCATCTCCTCAACTACATATATAGGTCATGTCTAGACTGTCCACAACAAGTTACCCCAATATTCACATTTTAACTCTTACTATTCAGTGACAAAAACTACAGAGCGCATTAATATTATACTTCATGCAACTAACACATCATCTTATTTTACATCTCAGTTTAAGTACCATGACGAACAGCATATGTCTAAATGAACTTGCAGGCACATGAAAATCAACAAGCTAGCTACTGAGCTCTGTAACGTCATTGTTACCTACACTGTAGCATGCCTCATGGAGCTAGAGTATAGCACCTTTCTGCCATCACTGATGAGGTATGCTTCATAAAATAAAATGCTGTCATCTCCTCTTATTTTTCTGTGTAAAGTATTTCTCTTTGTCTTACTCTACTGTATTCTGAAAGGATCAAACACAAGGAAGAATATTTCTGTGTTATATTAACAATTTTCTTTTCTTAAAGGTAAATTCCTAGCAGGGCTAGAATGCAGTTGGAGTTAACAGACTATGTTGTATGCCTAGGATATGTCCCATTGTCTCAACCAGTTCATATGACAAAAGAACAGAATTCAGCTGTTTGGCCAGTCTTTCCTATAATTCAGGATACCAACCAGGTTACAGAATTCACAATTTCTTTACCTCTAGGCGACGGGCAGGGCTGACTCGCTGAAAGGGGCAAAAATAATGACTCTTCTAAAAGATTGTGCTCTCTTACAGAGCCCATTGATTGTATACAAAAGAAAATAAAAAAAATTACCTGCTGGGAAATAGGTACTTACACATGTCCAAGCTCATGTGCTATAGTGAAAGCAGCACTCAATCCATTTTCTTCACTTACAGAACAGCTGCGTAGTGGGTCACACATTGTACCTAACTCTGCTAAACCTGCAAAATTGAATCTTTAAATAAATGCTTAACAGAATGAATTTTCATTTAGTGCCATGCAGTGTGACAAATACTATGGCACTCAGGTTGAAAGTCATGCCTCAAGTATGCATCAAATTTACACAAAACAAACAACCCCCTGGCACCAAACTACACGCCAGGAGACAACAGCAGTAAGAAATGAGAAACCATTATTTTTGTCTGTGTGACTTGAATTTTGAATCTATTTCCTGATTTATTCCTAATTGATTTTTCTCTGGACAGTGAAATTCTTGTGTATGCTGTTATAAAACCATACTGATTTAAAAAGAGTAACTCACCAAGAGTATCACACTTCTCTCTAGCTCTGCAGATATCTTCCCTTGAAGAAACATATTTATTTAAAATTATTACAGCATGTAAAAGAATATTTTTAAAGTATTTTATTGTTGCTATACTACTTAAAGCAATTGAAAATCTGATTCTCAATTTTTAATCTTACAGTCCATTCAAACAATTTGTATTCTAGTGAAAGAAGTAATTTAAATTCATCAGACTAAGCTCACAGTACTGCTTTCCAGTGTGAAAAGAATAAAACTTAAAATACTAAGATATTTCTCTACAATGCAGACAGTAGACAATTATGAAACACTGCTGAAAAACATGCAGATTGCAATATACTGAAAACCAGCTTATGTTGTGGACCATCTGCCAAACCAACAATGTAAAATTCAAGACTAACATCAAAGACTATGATGTGTTGGAGTGTGTCCAGCTTGCACACTGGGGGGAAAAATTAGTGAAAAAGAAGAGCAAAAGACAGACTCTATTTCAGTGAATGAACATCAGAACCTTCACTAAGGTGATTGGCGTACAGGAAGAATATATACTAATATGTGAATATTTTCCATTTCAAGCTTTTGTTAGTTCTGATCATGCCTGGGCTATCAGGAGCTGACCATCACTGCGTCCTTTGCTGATTTCGTTAATTACAACACTGCCCCTATCACATATATGTACAACAGCTAAAGACTTTATTTCCTTGTCACAATTTCAGGTCTAAGTAATTTCTATAGTCTTTAACGAAAGGATCATCAGATGCTTATCTATAAACATAGTCAGAGCTCATGTATTGATAATTAGTGATTTGGGAAGTGGAAGATAGTCTTTATTCAATTCAGCTATTAACAGTGTCAGTGGAATGGTTAAAAGACGATGTTGTAAAAAAACCCTGAAGCATTTGTCTTACCTAGCTGAGTACTTGTGGCTATTTTAGATATCGTACCTAGTGATGAGAACAGCAGTATCATGATGAGAAGGGTGTGTGTCATCCAAAGTGTTTTGTGATTGCTGCCATAAACAAAAATTACGAAGAGTGGTAGCTGCATTGAAAGTGATTGCTGGTCCTTCCTAAGCAAGAAATGGTCAAAAACATCAAATAAGGGTTTTAATATTCATGCACTTGCACTTACTGTGTTGTCATTTGTGCTGCTAATCTGTAAAATAATGACTGTGCATGGAAAATCAGCAGGACTCCACATAAGAGTTCCCTTAGGATCAGATCTGAATTAAGCCACAAGTCATCAGACATGAGAACCCACTATTTTAAACAATGTGCATGAGCATTTACCATGTGTTTAATATTTTTTAAAAAGTGACAAGACATAGGTAAATATAAACCCCATGTATTAGAAAAGCATATATGTCTTAAAATCTTAAAATATTACAACTATTAGGGCTGGAAACACTCCATCAAAGCACTCTATAAAAGCTGTCATTTCCCAATCACATTTCCATATGTATAATCACAGTTTAGGTTGTTATGCCATAAGCTTTCATATACTATCTGATTTATGTCGATATAGGTCAACTGGAGGTGCTATTAGAGAGACAGGGAAATACAGGCATTAAATACACACCCTGAATTTAACATCACATTTGACATTTAGCCTCCTATTTTAAAACAAAATTTTATAGTTAAAGAAAATATTTTGTATTTAAAACTAAACCAAATTAAACTTTGTAATTACAATGTAAATACATGTATTTTGTTTCTTACATTAGAAAGAAATCTTTTAAATATTTACTTTTCTTACCTGTTCATTGTGAATTACAATTAATTTGACAATAACTATATTTATAAGATTTCCAATACTTGAATCCTTATAGATTGCTGCAACCTAAAGAGAAAAAAAATCAGAAGATTAGAAAATTTAATTCATCTGGTAAACTATATCTCATTTAACCAAGAAAAAAAAAATTGAAGGAAAACAAGTCACTACACAACAAATATATCATGCATCCTTCTATACCTTCTACCCAAGCATATGGTGACAAATCAAAAGCTTTTAATATGCAAATAACTACAATTCTATATTAATTTGCAAATACTTAGACACCATCTTGAAACAATGTAAAAAGTACATTTATTATATGCTGTAAAACCTGTAGTTTATTAATAAAATATCAAAGAAAGAAAAAAGTAATGTCACTGCAACTATTAGGCATAAGCTGGTTTGTGTGGATGATTTGTGGAATATAAGAGAGTTTTAGAAGGCAACTTTGAACAAGTAAATTTTTGCCCTTCCTTTTAGTGGAAGCTGAACTGAGTTGTAAGTCTTTATTGCAAATATACATGACACATACAGAGGTTTCTTTTCTCATCCTTAAATTCTCTATTTACATACCCAACAAGCATTTTTATACATAAGTGTTGCAGACAGATAGTAAAAATCATGAGTCAATTCCATACACTGAAGTAAATCAGTGTAAAGTCATTCTTCATAAAAGTTTATACCTTCTCAATAACAGCTTCAGATATTTCATCCACATGGATTCTACAGTTTGGCTTAAAGCAGTTGACGAATCACAACCTTATGTAAACAAGAGCTGCCACTGAACACAGAAGTACTGACTTTCCTCCCTTCGAGCTTGTGCTAAGGCTGCCAGGCTACAAAAGTGATCTATGAACTGATCCAGCTGCAAAATTACTTTTTTTTTTTTTTTTTTTGTAAATCATGTTATACTGATCAATGTGATCTCATTCCTGGTGCACTTCCTCCAATACAGGTGCTGACAGAGGAAGAGATGAAGAAGAACAGAACTTCTTTCAAAAGTCACCTATACTTGAACTGGTTCAAGTTGCTTGTGAAACTACAGCCTTGTAGTATATGAATTCTATTTACCTGAGATCAAGTAATCCTGCTAAAACTTGGAACTGAGAGAGCACTGGCTCTGAACTCATGCCCCACCTTTCTCTAAACTGGAGAGAGCACAATGTACAGCGTTGTCCTTTTTTATTTTGTTGATACACAAGCTGGAAATAGAGGATTCAATAAGGGTGGGGAAGGAGCCAGAGTTTCAGAATCCATGTGGAAAACACATTTCAGAGCAGTACAGCTATTGTTTGCTTCTTTCCATACGGACTCCTTTCTTGGTCACTAGCCAGAAAGCATCCAATTATTCTGAGGTGGGAATAAGGAACATGTTTCAAATATTCACTGAAGAGTTGAATCCATTGGGCTTGGGCAGATTCAGAATCCTTTATCAAAGAAAAGGATATGGTTGCAATAGTGCTTGAATGCTCAAGCATTATTTAGTGGAATAAACTACCATTTTTCTACTAGAACTATTGAGTGGAATAAACTACCATTTTTCTACTACCAAAATGACTTTACCACGATCAAGCTCCTTATGTGTTCTCTACTTTGAGATCCACTTTGATAAACTTGGAAGGGATATTTATCCTCGCCACAAACCATGTTCCTGTATGAACTGTTATGTTATGAACATAATTATCACATTCATCTCAGCTTACGTAACTAACAGTAAGCAAGTTGTCTAAAATCCTTCAATCGTCAGTGGAGAAGAAGAAGGGATGAACTGTTCTGCAGACATGACTATCTAAAGATACGTATTTAGACATACATATTTTCATACAAGACAGTAAAATAAGCTATTTCATTACTTCATCCCTTTACTATGGAAGGAGATAAGATTTTCAGATATACAAGGCTGAGGGAGATTAATTCCAGCCCAAATCTTTCAAGCTTTATTTCTATTTAGCAAATAAACAGAAGAGAGGTTCATATGGCATTCCAAAATCATGTCAGAGAGGAATCTGAAATGAGATCTGTGAGGATCTTTGGCTTATAACGTGAAGATGCTTGTTGCAAGGATTGCCTTTCATACCATTTAAACTGATACAAGATCCACTTAAAACTGAGGATTTGTTACAGCAGAAACCTATAAAAGAAGATTATATGTGTATAGTGTTAACAGAGACATCTTTCACTCGACCCAGTTGTTGCATTTGGCCTTGTAGATCTTCATGAGGTTCACATGGGCCCAATTCTCAAGACTGTCAAGGTCACATTGGGTGGTATGCCTTCCCTCAAGCAACGCAGCTGAATCACTTATCTTGGTGTCATCTACAAACTTGCTGAGGGTGCACACAATTGCACTGCCTGTGTCATTGACAAAGATATTAAAAATATTGGTGCAAATATGGACCCTTGAAGGACACCACTCACTACTGGTTTCCATTTGGATACTGAGGCATTAACAATAACTCTTAGGACATGGCCATTCAGTCAATGTCTTATCCATCTAACAGTCCACACATCAAACCCAAAACTTTCCCATTTACTGGCCAGAATCTTGTGGGGACTGTATCAAAGGCCTTACAGACATCCAGGCAGATGACATCTGTAGCTCCTCCCTTCCCCAGTGATGCAATCACCCCATCATAGAATGCCGCTAGATTAGTCAGAAACATCTTTCAGTTAACTAGTAAATCAGTCTAGTTAAACCTGGTTTTAGAACAGAAAGCTCTCAAACTCAGGAAACAGGCATTTCACTGGCTGTCAAGTAAAGAGCATGCCAATCATCTGAGGTAGTGACACAGTCAACAAAAACCAATACAGGATTTGTCCAGTACTGCAAGGGTATATATCAGGTAGAATAGGCAAAGGGATTGAAAAATGAATGAGGGGGTTAACTAGGTTCAGCTAACACCAAATAATACCCGAATGCCTAAACTGTAACTATTAACCTTCAGGAGAACATTAGCTTTGAGTTTCTTAAAGGCCTCCTGTACCATACATAGTATGTGAGAAGAAGACTCATTTCTGATCCTGGGTGATTAGAATGATCCAGGCAAGGAGTCCAAGCGGGAGCCTTCTTGAGATTAAAACTTAGGAGTTCAAGTTCATGGCTGTAGTAGCAGTTGTACAGTAGTTTACATATGTTCCCTCATGTACATTAGAGAGTCCCTTGACAAAAACCTGTTACTGCTGTGCTGTCTGATGAGGTTATCCTGCTGACAAAATCTGAAAACACAGAGGAGGTAAAGAAACCAACACAAAACACAGAGTTAATAGTCCTTCTTCCTGTCTGTTGACACAATGTCTATTTAAAATATTTGTGCAAAAGTATATCTTCAAAACCCAGTACCAACTACTCAAAACTTCAAGGAGATGCATAGATGAAATAAGTATGTAAGAAAATAATATCTCATTGCACACCTGAAGAGAATCTGTCGCAAGACTTTCAACACCATATCTACACACATCATCTGAATTATCTACTGGTTATATCTGGAGATGAGCTGAGGACTGAAATAATGTCATGTAGGTGCCAGAGGCTCTTGCCAAATTCTGAAGCATACTTTTTCTCATACTGGAGACAAGTTAATGCTAAATGTAAAAGTAACACTGCTTTCATTAATCCTACTTTTGAGTCAAAGTATGGATTCTTTGCCTCACGGGCACTTTCATGACCTCCAAACATTTACCATTACCACTGCTTTTGAAAGATCGAAGAGCACACTGCTGATAACTAGTTGCCCTTAACAGCAAAGGTATATTCTCAGGCTCGCTAAACACATGTGAAGAGAAAAATCCTGACAGTTGATAACCACAAACCAAACCTGAAGATTCACCTAGGGAGCTATGCAGACTTAAGGTAATCAACTAAGACTTGAAATGACAGATCAATGCACAGAACTACCAAGGATCTGGAATACAAGATTCTTATTTTCAGTGAAAAAAAATTAAGGGATAAGTACTCCCTGCTCCTGTATTCTAAAGATACCTCTCTCCATCATCTCTTATTGGAAGTATTCATGAAAAGGGATGATGAAATGCGATAAGAATTTAATAGAATACACCATTTCTTTACAATTTTCAGATCTACTTGCTTTACACTGATTTAAAGAGAGGCTTCACAAAAGTAGGAGGTAATAGCTAAGACAAAGTGAAATTAGTTTCAAGATTTTCCAGACTCTTAAAACCAGCATCCACACCACAGAAGAGTTCTGACTGCACAGCAACAAAGAAGGGGGAAAAAAAATATATAAATGAAACTAGTTACCCTTTGGTGGAAGGATCACAGCTTTTACCTTCATGGAATTCTCAAACTTTATGACAAACTTTGTCATCACCACAGCTGTGGCTGCCAGTTGACTGGAAGTAACTTGGTCAAAAAGTTTAGTTTCTCTTGATATTCCTGTTGTAACTGTCCATTAATATGACTGCGAATAATGGAAAAATACCCTTTTTAGAAAAGGGATTAATAAACAAGCAAGTATGCCTAGGGGCTGGAAGATAAATAAATGATATATCCAAATCCAATTGGACTTCTTCAGCAATTTTTTTCCCTTTTTGTTTTTCCCCCTAATTGTTGTATCACAAGGCCTCTTTATCTTTTTCCTCGTCTGTTACACACAACCATGATACCAGGAAAATACAGACTTTCATATTCCTTGAAAGAAACAGCTCACATGTTTTTTGCAGGCTCCAATTATCTCTTATTTATCACTGTAGTGCTGAAAGGATGTAAGATATCCAGGATCCATGAGATTTCTCCAGGATCTGGGGGATTTCTCCTTCACCTATTCCACTGTCATACCCTTATTCTGTCATATATTTCATAAGACCACAAAATTGTCTGAAGTCATAAGATATGGGCAGTCATTGCTTCACTGAATGAGAAAGAGCTGTGTCATTTCTGCTGGTATTGCTCTTACTCTATCCTGTGCATATTTCTGTACTAAACTGGCTTCCACCAGTGGAACCTAACACTAGAAGAGACTTCTCATGCAAACTTGCACAAGTATACCTATATGTCTCAGAGTTACCATTTTTTCCACTAAGAGTTTTAGGTCATCTCCTGTCCCCTC